CAACCTGTGGAAAATGGTGCCCCTCGCCACTTCGCACAGCGGGCACAACGTGTCAGGCATGATGTAGCCGTGGCCCTCGGCTCGCGCCTTGGCCCAGGGCGCCTGGCAGACAAGACCTCTACTGCACCCTTTCTCGAAGGGAGTGAATTTAGAAGAACTCATGGCCGCGAGGGCCACGTCGAAACACACACGACGATCCAGGCCCAGGGACCGCCCATACTCACGTTCCAGATTCCTCAAAACAGCAGCACGGAGGAGACGCTTCAGGGGGCAAGGCGAAACCAGGGCAAGGGAGACTTCCACCCCCAGGTCATCGACCAGCATGCTGAAGCTAGGCATCTTCCACCCAAGACGCTCCACCGAGAGCCGAAGGGCCCCCACAGGGCCACGCACACGACGCCACGGCTGGAGAGGCCCCGAGAAACCTACAGCCCAGGCACCGCGGAGCTCGGCCAAGCTGAGGCCGAACTGGTAGGCCCCCACCAGGCAAGCCCAGACCTCCTTAGACCACCTCACAATGGGCGGGACGGGCGCGTACCAGGTGGGGTCGGCGGCAAACAGCAAAGCTGCCGCGAGGGATCTCCCTCCAGCGGAGGGTTGCAAGAAACGACCCATGGCTCTTCGCAGGGTGAAAAGCTCATGGTCCGAGGTGCCGTGCACCTCGCAACCGTAGGTTCGGCTGGCAAGGGGCCCTGTCGTGAAAACCCGACGCGAGTGTCGACCGAGGGTTCTCTTATGACGAGCCAAACGAGCAACCTTGGCCGAACACAGGGACGAACTTTAAACCTTCCACCGCGACGAGCGACGCGACGGGGCCTGCCAGCAGCATCGTCGATGCCGAGGTTGACAGCGGAGTCACACGGCGCTCCGCCCACCGTGCCAAGACCTTGGCGCACGGCCTTAGCAACTGCAGAATGAGAGGCGAGCACTGCCGCCTTCTTGACAGCGATCGCGCAGCCAAGATCGCCCTCGATGACAACTTGCAATTTAATGCCCCCCTCCAGGAGGTCATTAACGACCGTCGAGGCGGTCCCTTGGCAAGACAGGGTGTAATCATCGATCTATATCTTCAACGAGACCGATCTTGGCAAGCTAAGCCCATCTAAGGCGGCTATGCTGAAGACACGGATTAAAGTGGTCGCGAAGCCGCAGCCTGCCACAAGTCCTCGCCATGCGAACTTGGGCCCGATGACCCTGCTGTTCATGGCGATGTAGCGGCAGGCGCGGTAAGCAACGTCACAAACTCTCGCAATCTGCATGGGGAAACCGTGCTGACGGCAACGCTGCAACAGCAGATCCAAGTCGACCGATTCATAAAACTTGAGAAGGTCCCAGAGAACCGAACTGGAACATACATCGGACGAAACAGCTTTCTCACTTCGAACGCATTGCCGCCAGACAGTGTCCACGCTCGATGCAAAGGAGCCCGCGGCGAAGAAGTCCCTGCCGTTAGCCACTTCCCACCTGCGAGAATACTCACGACGAGCACGGGCCCAGAGACGATGCACTGACACGAATAATCCTATCGGTCTGTGCCCACCGTCTGGCTTGGCAAGCATGATGAGCAACAGCACGCGCATCTGCATTGGCAAGTGCCCTGACTTCTCGAACGTGGCGATGAGGCGAGAGAGGGCGACAAGGGCCTGATCCGAGAGGTGCTGGAAGTGGCTAACATGGAAACCGCCAACCGAGGTGGCCGTGTGCTTCGGGAAAGACCGAGAGACACGGCGAAGGTCAGCTGGGGTCAACTCGGGCAGGGGCTCGAGCGCCTCGAAGCGAGCACCTGTCGGCGGGGAAACCTGCTGGTCTTCGGCATGCCACAGATCAGAAAACTTAGCACATTCAGACTCAAGGAGGGCCTGTGGGTCCGAAACAACTTCACCTTTGACGCTGAGGGTAGTGGTGGGGGTCCAAGCAGGGGCCCCTCGAACAACCCCATGGGCGTGCCGAGCCCCTGACTCAATGTTGGTCTTAAGCCAGGACACCCACTTACGGTTCTCAGCATTACGATGTTCACTCTCGGCCACAGCTTGGGCCTGGGAGACCGCATCCAGGGCATACTCGGGTTCCCCATAGACGACGGGCTGACCAGGGGGGCTGTGGGCGACGACATCCCTGCAACGCTGGAGCAGCGCGGCCGCGTGGCCGCTCCACTCTCCCAGCCTGACAGGGGGATTGAAAAGCTCAGCAGCCGTGGCACAGAGATGGCTGCTGCGTGCCGAGCTGTGCTCGGCGCGTCCTGACACTGTCGTTTCGATTAAACTGCTACGAGCAAAACGCGGGGAGGAGGGGGGCTCGGGCGCAGCCGTCGACGCTCCTAAGGCGCACAGCTGCAACCAAAGCCGAAAGCGATTGCTGGGCCAGCGGAGCTGCGGGGCCAACTGCGACGTCGACGAAACACCTTCCATCGAGGCCGTACCCGACTGCAGCACGCTAACCCAGTGCAGCTCCGCTTGGCGTCCTCGACTGCCGTGGTGCGAGAGACGGCACTGAAATACCCCTTCGAGCTCCTTGTCAGCCATGTTGGCCCAATGTTTATAGATGGTGTCCAGATGATACTGGGTCACATCAGTCTCCCCTCTCTCAGCCACCACCAGGGCTCGCGAGGCCAGCCGATCCAACACTCCCCACTCGGAAGGGGGCTCGGGGCACGGCCCCGCGGGCCTGCTGGTGAGCGAGGGTGGGGGACGTCGAAAAGTCAAAGCTTTGAGAGACGCGAGGGAGGGGTGGAAAGTGAGGGAGACAGGGTCATGCGTCGCTAACTCCGAATCGCTCACTACCTTCACGCCCTTGATCGCCTGCGCCAGGCGGGAGCAACAGAGGAAGAAATCGAACATCTTCACGCCCCCAGTGCTACGACAGGTGCCTAAAGCTCCAGGGGGGTACACAATGTCAGCTCCCATCCTTCTGTGAATCGACGAGCCTGCTAGCACGGCGGGCTCCACGTTGAAGTCAGCACCGACAACGAACGGCACAGACATGCTCTTTGCTCGCGCCGCCACGCCAGCAAGAATATCCTGATTGAAATCACTAAGTCCAACACAATCCTGCAGGTAGGCACTAACAACGTAGAAAGAGGCCTGACCTGGGAGGTGGACGAGAGCTCCGAGGGCCCTGTGGGGCCGAATCGTGGGACCAAAGTCGGGGCGGTGCAACCCGAGGAAGGATCTAACCAGGACCCCGACCCCAGCCGAGGCCCCCCCCCAGGCCCCAGGGTTCCAGGTTCGAAGCTGGCTTTCCACCCGTTTCGCACACACCAGGCCGAAGCCTTCCTGATGTCCTCAGCGCTAATGAGCTTGTGCTCCTGGGCGAGCACGATGTGGGCCGAGGTAATACCCAAAAACTGTTGGAGCGAGCTCCAAGCAGTGCCGTTAGCCGTCACTATCTCCAGTTCAATAGACTCATGAGCAGCAACAAAATCTCCTCGGTCCCAAGGGCGATGCATACACGAGTTTCGCGGGGCATCCAAAACTGGGCAGGAGGTAGGGAGTCTAGGGTAGGAGAAGGGTGATGGCACGGCACAGGTCTGGCTAGGAACGAGCCGCGCCCTTGACTGGGGGGCCCGCTGGTGGCGGCGCCTTCCCGTCTGGGACAGCGGTGGGCGCCTTGGGCGGTGCCCTGCGGATCGCCTCACGAGCCCGGGCACGGACAGAGGCGCCAGGCTTAGAAGGCGGGGCACCAGGGGCGACAGGCGGCGCTGGGGTGGCCTTGCTTCCAGCAGCAGAGGCCGACGCCCCCGATGCCTCAGAGGCGGCGGCGGCCGCAGCGCCTCCTGCAGGTACACCAGCAGCAGCAGGTTCGGCATCCGTCTTCCGTTTCTTCTCGAGCCGCTTGGCCTGCTCCTGGTGGTTCTTCTTGAGCTCGACGCACTTCGACTGAACCTCCCCGAACAGGGCCGCCGTGAGGGTCTTGATGCTCTCCGACAGCTGCTCCTTCCGAGACTGGGCTTCACGCAGGTCATCTGGAGTGACGTCCTGAAACTCCGTCAAACCGAACATGTCGCCATCGTCCAGCACGAAAGAGGACACCTTGCCATCCAGGATGTCCTGCAGGCGAAACACTGGGGCGGCTGGGCCCTCTTGTGGCTGCGACGGCTGGACCGTGACCGACAGGTGCAACTCTGAGATGGCCGACTTGTATTCCTCATCGTAGCGCTCCAGCTCCTGCAGCGTGGCCTCCAGGTCTGCGCGCTGCTGAGCCAGCTTCCGCTCGAGGCCGTGGACGTGGTCCAGGTCGCGATCCAGCTTCTTCTCGAGCCTCTGGATCTCCTTGAAAGCCGCATCTGCCCGTTGCTGCGGGGGCAGAGGGGCTTGCTCCAACTGGGCCACCTTCTCTTGCGCCAAGGAGAGCAGGGAAGCGTCCCCCACCTTGGCGCTGAGCTCCACCAGCTGCTGCAACTCCGTCTTGGTCGCAGTCGGGACGGTGGCAGGCCGCACGGGTGGAGTCTTTCCCGACACTGCGTCTGCTGCAGCACGACGGACTTCAGCAGCAGCCGCTCCACGGGGAACTCCTCCTCCTCTGGCCTGACCGTCTCCTGGCACGGGCTCAGTCCACTTCTTACCGCAGTGCTTGCACCACATGTAGTGACCCATGTTCTTGCGGCAGCCGCAGTGCCCGCAAGTCCACTTCTTGGTTGCGTCGTAGCCGCTACGAGGCTTGCCACCAAAAGCCATCGCAGCGCCGCCGTGAGGGAAAGGGGTGTCCGAGCCACACTGGCCCGCGAACACCCAGCCGTTCTGAAGATCGGTGATCGCATGCACAAAAATGGATTGTGCCAGAACGGCTTGAGCCAAAATGGCTACGGAAGGAGGAGGAGGAGGAGGAGGAGGAGGAGGAGGAGGAGGAGGAGGAGGAGGAGGAGGAGGAGGAGGAGGAGGAGGGAGAGGGAGGAGGAGGGAGGAGGAGGAGGAGGAGGAGGAGGAGGAGGAGGAGGAGGGAGGAGAGGGAGGAGGGAGGCGGAGGAGGAAGAGGAGGAGGAGGAGGAGGAGGAGGAGGAGGAGGAGGAGGAGGAGGAGGACGAGGAGGAGGAGGAGGAGGAGGAGGAGGAGGAGGAGGAGGAGGAGTGGGAGGAGAGGAGGGAGGAGGAGGGAGGGAGGGAGGGAGGAGGGAGGGAGGGAGGGAGGGAGGGAGGAGGGAGGAGGGAGGGAGGGAGGGAGGGAGGGAGGAGGGAGGGAGGGAGGGAGGGAGGGAGGGAGGAGGGAGGGAGGAGGGAGGAGGAGGTAGGAGGAGGAGGAGGGGGGGGAGGGGAGGAGGGGAAGGGGGAGGGGGAGGGAGGCGGAGGAAGAGGAGAGGAGGAGGAGGAGGAGGAGGAGGAAGAGGAGGAGGAGGAGGAGGAGGAGGAGGAGGAGGGGAGGAGGAGGACGGGCCGCCTAAGCCCTTCGGAGAAACCCTCCACCTGGGCCCTGGCGCGGCCCACCCCGCCGCCAGGCTCTGCTGCAGCAGGCCCGCCCCCTGGCCCGGCAGCGCCGGGAGGGCGCCGGGCGGCACCTGCTCGGAGCGCCGCAGGCCCGCACGCCCCGGACTGGGCCTGGCCAGGCAGGATCCTGGGCCCAGGTAGGGTTAGGTCGGGCGTGTCCCCCTACATGGGGCGACGACATCTATATCTATAAATGTGTATATATATATATATACACACATATCCACTGTTCCCTGGCCAGGCCCAGCCTGTACGCCACGCCCTCCTGGCAGCTCCTGGGCCCAGGAAAGGCCCAGCCAAGGGGCAGTGGATATGCATAGATCCCAACTACAGGCGGGCTTCGACGAAAAAGGAAAGGCGAAACATACTCAAAAACAGTCCATAAAATATTCAAAACAAACTTCGCAAAACTATTCCCCCTGTAGAGGGACGTGCCCGACTGCGAGTAAAGCTGCGCGAGAAGGAGGCAAGCCCATTGGCCGCCCATGCCGAAGCTTCTTCGAGCGCGGCGGGCCTTCGGAAGTAGTCAAGGAAGGGCCGAAGAGGCCCGGATGCAAGGGCACCCCTGGGAAGGTTACAATCCTTCCCATAGGTTTCGACTGTTTGCTGCATCTTCGAGGGGGGTCATATGTCTCGTCGCGCCCCTGGCCGCGTCGAGTCCGTGTCGAATCATGTCGGACACACCGAAGCCGCGTCGAATCCACGTCGATTCCACGCCGACCCCATGCCAGATCCGCGTGGAGTCCGCATCGGGCACGCGTCGGGCACAAGAGAAGGCACCAATTTGGGGGACAGATGAGGTCTCGAGGCAGCGTAAGCCTGGGAGCCTAGACGAAGAACAATGGCAAAAAGCATGCACTTTCGAAGGTCCGCGCGGACTTCTCGGATCGGCGCCGGAGCGCTTCGCACACCGAGGGTGAGGTGATACCAGCGGCATCGATGAAAGGGGTCTTCGCGGAGCTCCGACAGTGCATGCTGATAACGATGCTTCCTCTTCGTCCTACAAGATCCATTTTCCTATTCTCACCCTCCTCCTTCTGGCATCAGAGAAGATCGGCGCGCACGCCCTCCAGTCTTGGCCAGGAAGGCATGCACACCGACCGTGGGCCGGGCCAGGGACCGCCCAGACCAGGCCGAGTGTTGGCGTGGAGCCGACGCCTCCGGCCTTCTTCCTCGAGCAGACGATGCGCGGCTGGAGCAGGCGGCCACCCTCCAGGCCGCACGCGCCCGGGAGGCAGCCGGCGAGACTGAGCGACCCCTCGGAGGCGACCTTGGCGAGCGCCCTCAGGCCGGGCACGGCCCGCAGGGGGCCACCCGGAGGCACCGGCGCAGGAGCTGCCACGTCGAGCCCCAGGTCCATCATCATGGCGGACGCACCGTGGGCTGCGGCCGCTGCCGCGACCCTGGCCTGCAGCGCGCCCATCCAGTCGGCAGCTGGAGGCGGCATCACCTTTGGTGAGGCGTCGAGCTGCGCACAGAAGGGCGCCCCCCCAAGAAGCTCCCGCTGGCCTCCGAGTACCAAGGGTTCGTGTCGTGTCGACCCCGGCGTTGGTTCCTGACTCCGTGGCGATCGTTGAACCTTGAACGACCGGCCGCTTTCGAAACGTCGGGTCGTTCAACCTCGAACGATTCTGGGTCGCCTGTCGTCGCCTGTCGACACGAAGCGAACCTACCGTAGTCCAGAGGGCGGTCTCAACATCCTAGCGCCGCCTCCGGCGGCGCCCCTGGGGTGCTCCGCGCCCCAGAGTTGAGGTGCTGACATCGCCCTGGGCTACAGTCGGGGCGTTGACCTAAGCAACCCGAAAGAAGGAACGAGGCCCTTCTTGTTCTCCATGAGTTGAACTCTGATGTCCCAGCGAAAAGCTGAAGAAAACCTGGGGCAAACTGTGCCACAATGAGGGAACACGGAGCCCCTCCCCAACGAGAAGGGCTCCTCCCTCGGCGCCCCGACAGTCCTGGGGGGGGGCATGCCGAGGCCGGCGGGGACCACTCGGCGGAGCTGCCTGTGCGCAGCCCGAAGCCTCACCTCACGGGACTCACGCACCATTGATGGGCCCGTTTTCCACCACCACCACCACTATAAGTTGGAGGGGGAGGGGGTCCTCCTCCTCATCCTCCTCCTCCTCGTCCTCCTCCTCCTCCGCCTCCTCCTCCCTCTCCTCCCCCCCCCTCCCCCTCCAACTTGTGGTGGTGGTGGTGGTGGAAGACAGGCCCATCGACCATGGCACAGCGGCCTCGCCCCGCGACACACGCGGGCCGGCAGCGTGGCACACTGCGTGCCGGCAGAGGGCGCGCACGCGCGACCCTGCGCGAGAAGCTTGCGTGCGGAGGCCTGCGCCGTCGACGCTGCTTTGGGGGAAACCAGAAGGCAAGGATACCGCTACTCCCCAGACCTCTCCTACGGTGCGGTGCGGTCTGACCCAAACTTCGAGGCGAATCCAGCGGTAGCGACGAGGGCCCCCCAGGAGACCCGAGGCAAGGGCAGCGGTATCGGTACCTCGCCGTGGTCGTCGTGTCGTCGCCGTCGTCGCCGCCGTCGCCGTCGCATCTGACGATTTCTTCCTTTGCCCACCTTTGTCGAGGACCAGCCGTTGGGCGAGCGCGGGTGCCTCAGACTCAGAGGCGCCAAGCCGAGCGACGGGCTGCTCTTCGAGAGTCCCTGGCCGCGGACGAGCCCGGGGCTCCTCTTGGCACTGCTGGCCTGCGGGGGGGCCACGGCTGCACCAGCGCGGCCGACGGGGCGGGCGGCGCCGATGACCACGCGCGACCTTGCGGGCAAGATCTCTGTCGCACGTAGCACCCCTAACCCTCGATACCCCCCCCCCTCGGCTTCGACCGTACCCCTCTTCGTCTTCGCCTTCATTGGGAAGGTGGCTCCTCCGAAGGCCCCAGTGGCTACGACCACATGCGCCCGCGCAACCCAGTACGGCGCTTCGTGGCCCCATAGGGAGCTCCTCCGAAGGCCCCAGTGGCTGTGACCACATGCGCCCGCGCCATCCAGTACAGCGCGTCCTGGCCCCACTGGGAGCTCCACCGAAGGCTCCAGTGGCTGTGACCGCCTGCGTCGGCGCCGCCCGTCGCCCCCAGGCGCTGACCATGTGCTCCCGCGGGCTCCCAAGCACACCCGTGCGCTCCCGAGCGCTCCCAAGCGCTCGCAAGCGCCGGAGCTTCCCAGGTGCCCCCCAAGCGCTCTCGGGCGCTCCCGTGCGCTTCCCAAGCGCACCCCAGGCGCTTCCGGGTGCCTCCATGGCGCTCCCATGGCGCTCCCATGGCGCTTCCAAGCGCTCCGCAGCGCTTCCCAGGCGCCCCCGGTTTCTCCCAGGCGTCCCCTGGGCGATCTCGGGCGCTCCTGAGCGCTCCCAAGCGCAAGGCGCTCCCAAGCGCTCCTGGGCGCTCTCCAGGCGCTCTCTCTCCGGGCGCTCCCACAAGCGCCCGCAGGCTCCCAGGCGCTCCCATGCGCTCCCAGCTTCATAGGCGCTCCCAGGCGCTTCCCAAGTCTCCCAAAAGTTTCCCATGCGCTGCCAGGCGCTCTAGGCGCTCCACGGCGCTCCCAGGCGTTCCAAGGCGCTCCCAGGCGCTCCAAGGCGCTCCCAGGCGTTCCCAAACGCCCAAACCCTAGGCGCTCCAAGGCGTTCCCAGGCGCTTACCAGGCCCTCCCACAAGCGCTCCCAGGCGCTCCACCGATGGCCCCAGTGGCTGTGATTACATGCGTCTCCCCCGACCCATTTCGGCACGCCCCTCGCGGGAGCTCCACCGAAGGCCTCGTGGCGGTGTCCACATATGCTCCCCCCCCGCTCATGTCGGCATACCCCTCACACATCCCGTGGCCCCATGAGGCGCTCCCCCTCCTTTGTCCCACCTGCCTTGAAATACTCAGTTGCATATAGTCGGGTCCTTCGCCAGGGTAAGGTAAAACGTTTGAATGATGTCCGCGCTCTCACCTTTTCGGGCTTCCAGCAGCCCGACAGGGTCCAACAGCCTCAAGGCGGCAACAGAAGCCCCTGATGGTCCCGAGACAGCCAAAGCGCCACAAAATGGCCCCCAAGAAGTCCAGAAGACCGCACCCAGAGGGCTCCAAGACGGCCCTACAGCGACCGGAATATTCCCATGACAGTCCCCAAGGCTTCCGCGACGGTCTCCGGATGCGTCCGATCGGCCAACAGCGCCGATAGACGGCCCAGGAGGTTCCCGAGAGGCTAGGGAAGTTTCACAGCGTCGCTCCGCTCACTTCGGCACACCTCTTACACGGATCGTGGCCCGCAGGGAGTTCCACGGACGGCCCCAGAGACAAGGTTCCCATCCAGCCCCCCTCCCATTTCGGCACATCTCTCACACGGATCGTAGCCCACAAGGATCTCCACCTGCGGCTTCAGAGTCAGGGTCCGCATTGCGCCCCCCCGCCCCTTGCGGCACGCTTCGTCACGCGGATTGTGCCCACAGGGAGCACCACCTCAAGGCCCAGAGACAAGCTTCGCACAACGCCCCCCCCGCCTATACCAGCACACCATCACCGGAATCATGGCCTAGAAAGGGATCCACCTACAGTCGGGGAGTTGACCTAAGGAACCCTAAATAAGGAACGAGGCCCCTTTTTTCCATGAGTTAACCTTCGATTTCCCAACGAAAACATAAGGAAAACCTGAGGCAAGCTGCGAAACACTTAAGGAACGCGGAGCCCCTCCCCAACGAAGAGGGTTCCTTCTTCAGGGCCCCGACTGTATGGCACCCATGGGCAGCTTCGCACGGCGTCCCCTCGCCCATTTCGGACCATGCCCTGCACGTGTCGTGCCCCGAACGAGCTCTGCCGGCGGCCTCCGTGGGCGTGTGCGCGCGAGGGCGTCCGAACTTTTCGGCATAGCCTTCACGTGGCCAGTACCCCAAGAGTCCGCAGGAGCCCGCTTGCCGCGTTGCCCCACGGCCTGCAGTGAAGAGAGACCCGCGCCCAGCGCAACACATGACTGCCTGGGCTTGCTCATCGAAGACGCCTGCGGCGAATCACCGCCGCCCCCTGCCTTTGTGGAAGCGCCTATGTGTCCGGCAGCTGGGCTGGAGCTTGGCCAAGCTATCGGACCATGTGTTCCCCGAGTTGGTTTGGAAAGAGTTCGGGGAACACGGAGGAGTAGGAGGAGGAGGAGGAAAAAGGAGAAGGGGTTTGCCTCTTCGGAGCCTCTTGAGGCACTCTTGGGCTCGATTGGACCATCTTGGGACCGTCTTGGAGACCATGTTGGGGCTATCTTGGGCTCTCTTGGGGCCTCTTGAGGGCCTCTTGGGACCCTTTTGGGGCTTCTCGGAGGCTTCTTTGGCCGTCTCATGGCGTTCCTGGCCCGTCTGACGCCGTCGGGGGCAGTCTTGGGGGCCTCTCTGAAACGACTTGGGGCCGTCTTCGGGCGCTTCGGGTCCGTCTTGGAGGCCATCGAGAGCGTCTTGGAGGCCCCTTGGACCGTCTTGGGGCCCTCTTGGAGCCGTTTTGGAGGCCCCTTGGGCCGTCACGGAGCCATCTTGGAGGCCTCTTGGGCGATCTTGGGGCGATCTTGGGAGCCTCTTTTGGCCGTCTTGGACCGTCGGAATGCCGAAAAGGCGCATATGCCAAAATCCTTCAAAAACCTCAGGAAAATCAATGATGTTGGCCTCGTCGGGCCTTCCTGGAGGACCTCTTTGAGGCCTGTTTGGCCGTCTTGGAGGCCTCTTGGGGGCCTCTTCGGCCGTCTTGGGCCTTCTTGAGGCCATCTAAGGCAGTCTCGGGTGCATGTTGGGCCGCCTTGGAGGCATCTTGGGGCCATCTTAACCGTCTTGGAGGCCATCTTGGCCGTGTTCGAGACATCTTGGAGGCCATCTTGGGCCATCTTGGCCGTCTCCGAGGCCCCTTGGGCCGTTTTGGGGCCCTCTTGGGGCCGTTTTGGAGGCCTCTTGGGCCGTCACGGGGCCATCTTGGAAGCCTCCTGGGCGATCTTCGGGCGACCTTGGGGGCCTCTTGGGCCGTCTTGGGCCGTCCGAAAGCCGAAAAGGCGCAAATGCCAAAATTACTCAAGAACCCGAAGAAAATCAATGATTGTGACCTCTGCGGGCCCTCCTGGAGGACCTCTTGGAGGCCTCGTGGGCCATCTTAGAGGCCTCTTGGGGGCCTTTTGGGCCCATCGAAGTCCGCCTTGGGTGCATCTTGGGCCATCTCGGAGGCATCTTGGGGCCATCTTAGCCGTCTTGGAGGCCATCTTGGCCGTCTTGGAGGCATCTTGGAGGCCATCTTGGCTGTCTTGGAGGCCATCTTGGGCGTCTTGGAGGTCTCTTGGGCCGTCTTGGGGCCCTCTTGGGGCCGTTTTGGAGGCCTCTTGGGCCGTCACGGAGCCATCTTTTTTTTTTTTCACGGCGAAGGATCAAACTTTGTGTCCTTGAGGTGATCCAACAAGGCAGTGCCAAGGACGCACTGCGTCTGGTCCACAGAAGACGCCAGCGAAGAAACGCAAGAAGAGGAGGAGGGAGAAGAAAGAGAGGAGGAGGAGGAGGAGAAGGCAGGGAACAAAAACTGGGCGCGCACAGCTTGTGCCTGCGTCGGCGCTCCCAGACCCGAGAAATCGCTGGAGACACCGGCAGCATTGTCCTACATCAGCGTGAGAAGAAGGGGAGCCCGCGCGTGCGGGATGCCAAAACACATTGATGACCTCCCGTTGTTCACCGAGTTTCATTTCCCACGCTGCACTCTTCGATCTTTTTTGCTGTTGCCCTTACGGTTCGCTTCACCCATCTCGCGTTGCCAATCTCGCTTCGCTGGGGTCGCGCCGGGCGGACAGACCCGGCGAACCCGACTTTAAAATGAACGCGCAGGTTATCATACGAGCGGGCAGGACATGATACCGAGCGGGATTCAGAAGAGGACAATTGAGCTAGCACGGGCTACATTTCGAGTCATTGCCGCTACAACAATACCCACTTGTGCACTGGCCGATATATCCGAATCCGCACTTATATCCTGGAACAACCTTATCACCCACACAGCAAGTTTGAAACGTCTTGTCTGATATGAAGTTGCGAGCAATAAATTCATCCCTTATGCAGCAGTAAGTGTTTGCTTGAGGGCACTCCAACTCACAGCTCATGGTTTTGAGATGCATGTCGCCAGGATGTTTATGTTGGCGATGCATGGTCAAATTGAGGTTATGGACATCGATCGGTGTATCCTCCACTCTCGTCTCCTCATATTGTTAGTGGTCCGGCGTCTCGTCCTTCCAAATGTTCGCGATTTGCGTTTCGCTGGGGCCCGGCGTCCGTGACTGGAGTAGCCCCACGCCATCGGCCTCGTTCGTGGCGTCGCAGTTGTGCGAATCGTCCTCCATCAGGCAGCGTTCCTCCGAGGTCTTGACTAAGTCGTCGGCGGCAACGCAGCCGCGGCCGACGAGCAGGATGGCGAACGCTCCCGCAAGCACCACGACGTTCATTGCGGCAACCGCGGAGTAACAGGGGCTTGGCAGCAATAGGCGCAAACCAAATGTCCCCTATTCCTTGAGCCAAAATGGCTACGGACCGTCACGGAGCCATCTTGGAGGCCTCTTGGGCGATCTTGAGGCGATCTTGGGGGTCTCTTGGGCCGTCTGGGGCCGTCGGAAAGCCGAGGCGCAAATGCCAAAATCCTTCAAAAACCTCAGGAAAATCAATGATGTTGGCCTCGTCGGGCCTTCCTGGAGGACCTCTTGGAGGCCTCGTGGGCCGTCTTGGAGGCCTCTTGGGGGCCACTTCGGCCGTCTTGGGCCTTCTTGAGGCTATCTTAGGCCGTCTAGGGTACGTCTTGGGCCGTCTTTCAGGCATCTTGGGGCCATCTGAGCCGTCTTGGAGGCCATCTTGGCCGTCTTGGAGGCATCTTGGCCGTCTTGGAGGCCATCTTGGGGCCGACTGGGGCAGGAAAACCGTTTGCAGCCACCTCTTCCGGGTGGCCAGCGGGACGTGACGAAGCCCCAGGGGGGAGTTCTTTTGGAAAAAGAACCAAAACCAAAAGCCATACCGTTTGGCACGCCAGGCACCCCTTTGATAGATCAGAAGGGGGCGGCGGTTCTGCGGCCTTCGGCCCATACTGCCACCGTGCTTGAGTTTTGGGCCAGAGGCTTTGTGGATACCTGTAACTTGGGGTATCTTGGCATGCTTCTCGTGCGCCTCGTGGAGCGAGTTTTGAAGCTTCTTGGAGCCTCACGTGGGCCCTTTGGGGGCCTCTTGGGGCCTCTGTTGGGGCCCTTGGGGGCCTCTTGGGGGCCTGCTGGCGGCCTCGGGGGCCCACATATGGCGGAAGGTTCGAAATTTCAATTGGAACTTCTCTTGGGCCATGTTGGGTACCTTTTAGCCGTCTTGGGGCTCTCGAAGGCCATCCTGTGTTGGGGCGATTTGGGGGGCATCGAGGGCCGTCTTGCACGCTGATAATCTCGAAACACAAAACGATGTGCAAAAAGGTTGGGGTAACTTTGGCCGTCCTGGGCCCACTTGGGGAGCATCTTGGAGCCTTCTTGGGGCGTCTTGGGGGCATATCGGGGGCTCTTCGGCTGTCTTGGGGCCATATTGGAGCGTCTTGGGCCCTATCTTGCGCCGCTCCTGTCGCTCAGTCGTGCTCCCCGGGGCTGTTTTGGGCGGCCAGGGGGTAGGCCCAGGAGGCCCCCCCAAGGGGGGGCCTCAAAATGGGGGTTGGGGGGGAAGTCCAAGAAGGTGTCCTGGCCCTGGGCCCGGGCCGGGGTACTCGGGCATATGATCTTTCGCGGTAACGCCCGCGACCGTCCCGGCCACCCCCCCCCTCTCCCGTGGCAACGTCACGATTCGCATCGGCGCCGTCTGGGAGTTGGCCATTCCTCACCATGCTGATGTCGGGCGTGTCTACACAGGGATTTTCGACGAAAAATAGAAAGTACCCCAAAAATACACCAAAACTGTCAAAAAATATTGTAAAAATCGTATCCAGACAATTTTTGAATTATCTTTTGACTATTTTCGGTGTATTTCTTCTTCATCGTCGACAATCCCCCTGTAGGGGGGACAGGCCCGACCTACCACCATTCCTCGGCTATACGCAAGAGTGACCCTGGGTAAGAGTGACCTTTGGTGCGCGACTTTTGGGGGGCCGCGGGGGGACCAAACCTGGGCGCGCAAGCAGCTGCTACTGCTCCGTTTTCAGCGATCTGGGGACCCATCTGCGCCCGCACCAAAGGTCACTCTGGCGAAAGGTCACTCTTACGTCTAGTCGAATTCCTGGCGCTGGCACGAGTTCTGACAGTACTGGCCTCCTCTCCTCGCCTCCCCGGCAGCGCCCGCGATCGCCAAGAGCTTACCGTCTGGGGCCCACGCTGGCTGGCAGCCCATACACACACACACACACACACACACACACACACACACACATATATATATATATATATAGCAGAACAGCGCGGAAAGCTGCCACCCTCGACGTGTTGATTGGTATTGCCTGGCAAGCATGTGTGCGTCGGCCTGTCAGGGACTCTTAAAATCGGGTCGGGCGAAAGGGGGGGATAGCAGAGGGGGGGGTGAGAATCAGCTCACGTAGCTGATTTTCCTGGCGCCTCCCGGCGCCGGAGGCGGCCATGTATCGAGGAATGGGCCCCTCGGTGAGGCCGAAACCAGCTGCATGCAGCAAATTTCGTAACTCCCCCTTTCCCAATCCCCCCCTTTCGTCCGGCCCGATAAAACTCGGCTGGGCCCCGTGATCGCCAGGGTACAAAAAGGTAGCCTGGCGAAGCACCCGACCATGTGCAATTGTGGGTGCCGTAGTTGTGAGTATTGTCTCTGGTGGAGCCCCCCTTTGGGAAAAAATTGTCCCGTTCAGTCCTGTGGCGACTTGTGGGAGCCTCACAGAATTACCATCTTGTCGGCTCTTGCGAATCGGCGCTGATCGACGCCAAATCAACGCTAATCGACGCTCAATCGGGGCTATCTGATCGATCACCAGACGCTCATCGACGCTAACGCACTCCGAAGACGGAATGACAATTTGCTATAAGTCATGATATCGTACAGCAGGCTCGTGTCGCATCTACCCAAGCGTTGGCTCCTGGCACCGCTGGCATCCTTCCGCCTGGAACGATCGGCCGTTCCCGAAACGTCAGATCGTTAACTATCGACCGATCCTGACTACCTGCCAGACCACCCCAACCCAACCCGAAGACCCGAATTTCGGGTTGGGAGGGGTAAGGGTTCCACGCGTGTTTTTCCTATGTTTCCCGACCCCCCCCCCAGTGGAAATCGAGGGCAAATCTGAGCCTTCGGGTTGGGCTGGGGTGGTTTGGTGGGTGGTGAGATCCTCGGGTCGCTGGCGGCGCCCCAGGATGAACGCCAGCAGGGGGGCCGCCGCTGGCCGACACGCCGCGAGCCTGCCGCACGGCTTCCGCCTCCACGGCGCCTGCGCGACGGCGTCGCCGGCGGCGGCGGGCCCGCGGCCGCGCCCGCCTCCTCCGCAACGGCGGCTCCAAAAAGTCCGGGGGGCGCGCAGGCACGGATCAGCAATCCATGGATTTGGCGCGCGGTCGCCTAATCCATGGATCGGGAGCGGCAAAGAGGGGGGTGTCCAAGAGGGGGGGGTGCAAATCATGACCGGCGGCATGTGCGCGGCCCAGCGGGGGGGCCAGGGACGTATTAAAATAAGAAGAGGCGCTATGAAATCTGGGGAAATATCATGGCCCACGCCATGATATCCACCCCCCCCTAGTCCTCACCCCCCTCTTTTCCGCCCCCGAATGGATGGGGGGAGGTGCCATTCGCAACATGCGGCCGGTACCGCCTCGCTCGGCGGCGGGAATCTGCGATTGGCGATTGCCCCTGGAAACGGGACCCGTGGCTAGTCCACGCCCCCTTGATCCATGTTTGCGATCGCGTGAGAGATGGGGATCTGCGAGGGATGGGGTCCCGAGAGGGACGTGCCTCCAACGACGGCAATCCGCCCGTGCAGCCCTGACCCCACTCGGGACCCACGTGTGAGCGTTTTCTTGTTCGGCGCTTCGACACTGGGCAGAAGGAGGGGGGGAGGGGGGGAGGTCTGGCCCCAGACCTCTGCTGAGTGCGGCTGTTCGGAACCGTGCGCCCTATGGGGGAGACTCCACCTGCTCGAAACAGGCGCCAAAAGAAACAGCCAAGATCTGCTCCAAGGCGGGGGGATCGAGTGCCCGCGCCGATCGGCAAAACAACGCAAAAGAAAACGATCGCCGCGTTCCCCCGGGGCCCCCCTCTTGGAGCCACCGGTCCGCGGCGGGCGGCTCGCGCCCGCGCTGCGCCGCGACCACCTCGGCGAGAAGCCCCGACTCCAGCGCCCGGCTGAGGCTCTGGCGGGCCTCGGCGGCCAGCGAGGCCAGGCTGGCGGGCCCCTCGGGCTCGGGCGCGCTCTGCTCGGCCGGGCCCCTGCCGAGGGCGCGCGGCCCCTCGCGGGGGGGGGGGCGAGAAAGGCAGCTGCACGGGCGCCAGACGTGCCTGCGAGGGCAGGGGAGCCCACCCTCACGGGGAGCACCCCGACCAGCAAGGGCCGTTCGGTGCACGCACCCAGGAGAAGGGAGCGGAGCGGTGCAGGGCCGCCGAGGCCGCTCGGCAAACGCCCGCTTGTGGGGGTCGGGGCGGTTCTTCCCGCCCTTGATCTCAGAGCTCCGCGCAGACTTCCGGGATCGGCGCCGCCCTGCCTCCCCCTGGCGGCGCCTCTGGCCCCGCCCCTGGCGAGCTACGCCCGCCATCGGGGGGGGGGGGGGTCCAGCGCCGACCCGAGAAGCCCGCGCAGGCCTCCGAACGATTGTGCGGACGCCGCTCTCTCTCGTCTCCGGCCTCGGGCGCCGGCAGCGCCGGCTTCTGCGCCGCGTCGTCGAGGGGCCGAGGCCGTGGGCGGCAGTCCTCCGGCGGGGTGCGCAGGGTGCCGCCGGCGCCTCCCTCGAGCAGCGGCGCCGCCGCCTCGGCCGCGAGGCTGCGGCCGCCCGCGGGCGCGCAGGCGCCCGCGGCGGCGGCCGGAGCGGAGCCCTCGCGGATGAGGCCCATGGCCCACGCGAAGGCGCCGGAGCGGGTGCTCCGGTCGAGGGCCCGCAGCGCCGCGGCCCGGAGGCCCGCGAGCTCCGCCGCGCCCGCCTCCTTGGAGCAGGGGCAGGGCCGCCCAAGGCATGCTTTTCGAGGCCCGCCACGACAGGTTCTCGGAACCCAGAAAAGTGCTCTGCTCGCCATCGCTCGGGCGTCCATTGCCTGTGCTTTTTGTCGGTTTCGTGCGTGGCTTTTTCGCCGAATGATCAAGGATGCTCCTCGATGGCCCTCGCCGAAGGAAAAATGCACACGTCCGAGCGATGCCAAGCCTAAGGACTAGAGCAGTGCTCCTAGAGCATACAGAAGCCCGATGTGCTCAGCCAAGAGGGTCCCAGCCAGAAGCGTGCTGCGGACAGTGCGGGCAAGCCACAAAAAGGGTTCTCCGAGCCTGATGAGACAACTTATGTCCGAAGTTTGCTTAAAAAGATGGACACAGAAAAAAAACAGACAACATAGGACAATAGAGAACAGACAACAGACATCTCCGATACAGTAAAACAAAAAAGTACACAACTTTTGAGCTCATTCTAAAAACGCAGTAACAAATATTACAGTTCCGTACCCGAAGAAGGTCGAAATAAAATAAAATAAAGACTAGTCCAACATCCTGAGCCTGCTGCGGGTGGGCCTACAGGCGAGCCTGCGCGCTATTCGCCTGAACGTGCTCGACTGTCCTGCAACAGCGGGCGTCAGTCTAGACGGTGCTGACCCCGGCTCCGACCAGTCGTCCTCGAGGGCAGCGGTGCGCTCGCGCGCAGGCGCGCGAGGCGGGGAGAGCGAGCAGCTTCGCGCCCTCGCGCTGCCCCCGCGGGGAGGAGAGGAGTCGGAGGCACCTCACGGGAGCCGCCCATTTGCCTTCTTGCTTTAGGTCGGGCATGTCGCCCTACAGGCGGACAAACATCAAAAAATACATATATATATATATATATATATATATTAACAACAAAACTCCAAAATCGTCCCCAGACTATTCTTGGGCTGTGTTTCAACATTCCCCCTGGAGGGGGACAGGCGGCTTACTGCGAGTCGACGCCGATCGACGCTCATCGGCTCCAAATCGGCGCTGTCCCCTCGAGTACCAGACGCTGAGCGGCGCAAGTCGACGCCAAAGGCGGAGGTAAGAGGGTATACGAGGCTCCCATGATGTGCTATCGAGAAGAATCACAAAAAAGAGGATGAGGATGAGGGACCGCGAACCGCGAGTCGCAAACCTCGAATCACCTTGGGCGCCCCCGGGACGGCCCCTGCGTCCTGCGAGACCGTGGAGCTGAGCTCCCACAGGTCCTCCTCGTCGTCCTCGGCCTCTCCTTTGGGCGCCCAAGATGGGCACAGAAAAAGTGGGTACGATGCCCAACAGCAAAGATGAGCGACGAAAAGAAATGGGTCTTACGCGCGATGGCACAGCGACCTTACGCGGTGGCTTACGCGGGCCGCCAGCGCAACACCCTACACTGGAAACGAGGGTGCCTGCGCGTGACTTCTTGCGCGGGCAGCTTACGCGCCAGTGTCGGCGAGGACGACCCCGTCTTTTTGCGTCTCTCCAACATGCAGAGACAAGATGGGCACGATGTCCAGCAACACAGTGGCTGTCCAGAACAACCGGCAGAAGCCGCTCGTGGGGCAAGCGGCCTCCTGCCTCAAACGGACCACGCCCGCGGCGACACCGGCATCGAAAAGGAACAGGAGATGAGAGGTCTCCCAGATGAGGTCGGAGTAGATGGGATCGGAGGATCGCGCCAACTCGTCGATGCGTCGGCGGCGTCGGCTAAGCACCAGCACCGCCGCCAGCGTGGACAAATTCGGGTTCCACATCGAGCCGCATCGCCGATGCATCGACGATGCGGCGCGATCCTCCGAACCCGACTACTCCGATCCCATCTAGGAAGCCTAAAAAAATGCAGTCGGTCATTCGTGCCCATTCTAGCCGTAGCCATTCGATCGCACCTGATGATGATGCTGTTGTTGCTGGTGATGATGGTGATAGTGATGATAACGATAATGTGAATGATGATGTTGATGATGCTGTCGGACTTCGCAGCCATTTCGATCGCCCCGATCTCCCTGCACGCCGAGGTGGTCCATCGCGCGGTCGGCGCCCACGCCAGCCCCAAGAAGCACGCCCCTCTCGGGTGGCGACGTCCCAACCCCTACCCCCACCAGCAGTCGACTCTCCAGGAGAGGACACGCGAAAGGGCGCAAGACCCTTCAGAGAGCCACGCTGCCACAGGAAGGTCGGGGGGCACGCCCAACAAAACTCCTGGGGGCACCCGTCCTTTCTTCCACCAGTCGGTGGAGATGGCGGCAGAGTGTCCCCCAGGTTTAGGAGGCCAAAAAAAACACCCCCATAGTAACCAACCCGACACGCGAAGTCGTTTCATAAACGCGCCCAAGGAAGGAATCGAACAGGACAGGGCTGTTTAGTAAACGCCCAGGGCCGTCTAGTAAGCGCCAGTTGTCTGGTCCAGGTGGTTCTTCCTCCCTTGAAGGTTGCCTGGCTTGGGTCAAACGCCCGACAGGCTCTGACCAGCTTTCCTGAATCGATGGGGGGCGCGGGGGGAGTGCGGAGTTCGCCACGTGCTAGACGAATTCGGCACCCCACTCCCGCCGCCCATCGACCTGCCGAATCGTTGATCGGCGAGGGTGCGGCTGGTTCGCGCCGCGATATCGCGGGCGCTGGTTTCCGACGTTGCGTGGATCGTTCAGCCTCGAACGATCGCGGCTCTCCGATAGCGCGGATCGCTCGCATCGGCCGACTTTTTACAACGGGCGGTGTTCAACCTTGAATGGCCGCGCTGGGGTCACCACCGCGTCAACGCGGCGCAAACCTGCCGTAGGGTTTGGACTTTGCCGCCGACGATGCCGCTGTCCACGCCGCCAACGACGACGGCGACAGCGGTGGCGACTGACGACGACGACGACGACGACGACGACGACGACGACGACGACGACGACGACGACTGAATCCCGAGTCTTACGTCCACAACCTACGGCGACAAAATCTATAGGTATCCATTGCTCACTGGCCAGGCCCGTCCTGAACCCAGCCGCTTTGCATACGCCACGCCCGCCTGGCGTGGCCAAGAGGGCCCATACACAACTCCTGGGCCCAAGAGGGTCCCGGCCAGAGTGCAGGGGATAAATATAGATATGTGTGGGTTTACAAATATACAGGTATATATGTACACATAAGAAGACATATATATATATATATATAGCGTATACAGATGTAAAAAGTATATGTGCAGCCGTATATGAATGTGTAGACGTAGATGTGTACATATATATATATATATGTATATATGTACATGTATATGTGTGCCTGTGTATGCATGTATGTATGTATATGTACGTGCGTGCGCCAATGACTATATATTCGCTTGTAGATGTACGTGCATGTGTATATGGTTGTACGCGTATGTGTGCACATGTGTACACGTCTGTGTATGTGCATGCGTATGCGTACATGTTAATATGCATGTGTGTGCGTGTGTATGTATGTGTAGATGTATTTGTGCATGTGTGTATGTGTATGTGTATGTGTCTGCGCATATGTAAATGTAGTTGTGGATGTAGATGTAGATGTAGATGTAGACGTAGGCGTAGACGTAGACGTAGACGTAGACGTAGACGTAGACGTAGGCGTAGGCGTAGACGTAGACGTAGACGTAGACGTAGACGTAGACGTAGACGTAGACATAGACATAGACATAGACGTAGACGTAGACGTAGACGTAGACGTAGACGTAGACGTAGACGTAGACGTAGATGTAGATGTAGATGTAGATGTAGATGTAGATGTAGATGTAGATGTAGATGTAGATGTAGATGTAGATGTAGATGTAGATGTCGATGTAGATGTAGATGTAGATGTAGATGTAGATGTAGATGTAGATGTAGATGTAGATGTAGATGTAGATGTAGATGTAGATGTAGATGTAGATGTAGATGTATATGAAGATGTAGATGTAGATGTAGATGTAGATGTAGATGTAGATGTAGATGTAGATGTAGATGTAGATGTAGATGTAGATGTAGATGTAGATGTAGATGTAGATGTAGATGTAGATGTAGATGTAGATGTAGATGTAGATGTAGTTGTAGATGTATATGTAGATGTAGATGTAGATGTAGATGTAGATGTAGATGTAGATGTAGATGTAGATGTAGATGTAGATGTAGATGTAGATGTAGATGTAGATGTAGATGTAGATGTAGATGTAGATGTAGATGTAGATGTAGATGTACAGATGTAATGTAGATGTAGAATGTAGATTGTATATGAGATTGTAGCTGTTGACCTAGATGTAGATGTAGATGTTAGATGTAGATGTAGATGTAGATGTAGATGTGCTAATCGATGTAGGATGTAGAATGTAATGTTGATGTAGATGTAGTATGTAGATGTTATGTAGATAGTAGATGTAGATGTAGATGTAGATGTAGATGTAGATGTAGATGTAGATGTAGATGTAGATGTAGATGTAGATGTAGATGTAGATGTAGATGTAGATGTAGATGTAGATGTAGATGTAGATGTAGATGTAGATGTAGATGTAGATGCAGATGTAGATGTAGATGCAGATGTAGATGTAGATGTAGATGTAGATGTAGATGTAGATGTAGATGTGGATGTAGATGTAGATGTAGATGTAGATGTAGATGTAAATGTAGATGTAGATGTAGATGTAGATGTAGATGTAGATGTAGATGTAGATGTAGATGTAGATGTAGATGTAGATGTAGATGTAGGTGTATATGTAGATGTAGATGTATATGTAGATGTAGATGTAGCTGTAGCTGTACCTGTAGATGTAGATGTAGATGTAGATGTAGATGTAGATGTAGATGTAGATGTAGATGTAGATGTAGATGTAGATGTAGATGTAGATGTAGATGTAGATGTAGATGTAGATGTAGATGTAGATGTAGATGTAGATGTAGATGTAGATGTAGATGTAGACGTAGATGTAGATGTAGATGTAGATGTAGGTGTAGATGTAGATGGAGAAGGAGAAGGAGAAGGAGAAGGAGAAGGAGATGGAGATGGAGATGGG